GTACCATATCGTGCTCGGGTCCGGGTAGACCGAAGTCACCGTATCTAGAGTCCATGGTCAGTGGTTGTGGTGGTGGTGACGTCAGTATGGCCTCCGCGGTACTTGCCTGAGACAAGTGTGTTTCACACGTGGAGGCCAAATCATTTTGCGAGGCTGTGATAGAGTTGAGTCGCAGGGGAGCTGACGAAGTTGTGGTTATGGTTTGTGGAAAGGATGAAGAGGAAGAAGAAGAGGTAGAGGAGGAGGAAGACGAGGAGCAGGAGGAAGAGGAAGACGACGAGGAAGAGGAGGACGAGGAGGAGGAGGAGGCGGACACGGAGGAGTGTAGACCTAAAGCTGAGCCTCGGTTTACTGATTCGTAGGGAGTGGAAACATAGAGCCCTGAAGGCATGAGCAGAAGCTCGGCAGCCGTCTGTGGTTGGCGAGTGGGAAGTGAGTACTGATTGAGGGAGTGTGTAGCATGGGCAAGATTCGGATTTGTCTGTGAGCCAAGGTGATGATGTGCAGGGCAGGGGGGAGAAGAGGTAAGGTAGTGTGGAAGAGGAGGGTGGTGAGCGAGGCTATGAAGATGATGATGGGAAAGTGGAGGAAGGGGAGGATGATCATAGGACGAAGGGTAAAGGTGTGATTGTAGGTGGGCCTCTGAGTTGGGCGTCTGAAGAAGGCTGTGTTGAGGAGGCGAGGTGACTCGCAAACCGGAGTTTTCCAGGCCCGGAGAGGTCGGGCTTTGTGGGTATGTCATGTGGGAGCCCAATTCGCTGGGACTTTGTGAAGCCGACGCAGCAGATTGTGGCTGCGCCACCTCGCCACCCCGGCAACCATCAAAGGGGTAGGCAGCAAAGCATCCAGAGAATGGAGAACTCAGAGGCCCCACCCCTTGATTGGTGCTGTCGGCATGGCTGGCCAGACCGCTGACGAAGGAAGAAGTTGAGGTGGGGGTGGTGGCAGTTGCCGGACAGGTGGTTGGCGTAGTGCCGAAGTGAAAATCACTGTAAATCTGCTGATGACTTGGGAAACCTGTGGAAGGATGAAACTCAAGCAAGCCACTTTGGTAGGCTCCAGAGTAGCTGGACAATCTGTTGGAGGGGAGGGGAGATTCACTTACTTTTGAGACAGCATCACTCAGTTCATCCGGTCCTCGGTAATGTGTCTGATGGCGGTAGATTTGTGGAGAACGGTGATGAGGTTGGCTGGGGTGCTGCCTATTTGAGAAATGTGGATTGACCATTGAGACAAGCGGCTGTAGTGTGACTTGTTGGGAAAACTTAGCGTCCCTTTCTAGACTCGACAACTCGTCCAATGACTTGGTGCAAAGAGTGTGGATATCGCTTTTGGTGCCAAGGCCTTTGGGCAGAGTACATGAAGTTGAGGCTGAGGAGGAGGCCGATGAGGTGGGCGGAGAGGCATAGAGAACAGAGTGAAAGGGATAGGTCAGGTTTGCAGCTTGCGAAGAGAGGCTGCCCACTTCGGCCCCGGACAAAAAGAATGCTGCCGCGGCTGCCGCTGCAGCTGCCTTTGTCATCATAGAGTGAGCACGATCGGACTCCACATCGGCTGGGCTCTCGGAATGCTCGCTGTCGAGCCGTCCGTCTTCCACATCTTC